AATGGCGCATTTTGTACCATGTAAAAGAATCTTTCGACGCTTTGAGCGTTGCCAAGCTGTTCTTTTGCGAAATTGTAAGATTGCATGGCATCCCTCGATCCCTAACTTCAGATTGTGATGTGAAGTTTATCAATTATTTTTGGAGGAAACTTTGAAAATGATTGGATACCAAACTACAACTCAACTCGTCTTATCATCCACAAACTGATGGGCAGACAATGGTAGTCAACCGCACACTTGGGAACTTGCTCCGCTATTTGGTATAGGAAAGTCCGAAAGTATGGGATGAAGTACTTCCTCAAGCCGAATTTGCATTCAATCTAATGGCAAACCGATCAACTGATATGTGCCCTTTTAGCATTGTTTATACCCAATTGTCAAACACTATTGTGAATGTTGCAGTTATTCCAAAATGTGCAAACAAGGCGGCTGCCAATATGGCTGAACAGTTTACATATATGCAATATATTGTTCGTGCAAAGCTGCAACAAGATAATGCTCATTATAAGCAACAGGCAGTTGTTCATCAGCGAGAAAAGACCTTTCATCCAGGTGACTTGGTATTAGTTTGCTTGACCAAGGAGCACCGACCACTAGGAACTTATTCCAAGCTAAGTCGCATAAAATTTGGGATTTTTACAATTCTCCACAGATTTAATGAAAGCTCATATGTCATAGACTTACAAACTGAGTATAAGGCTTCAAGAACTTTCAATGTAGCTGACCTTTATCCATACTCACCGCCTAATGATGGCTTGGTGACACCTGTATCAGGAGATGACAACATTCTTCATGGTGGGGGCAAATGATGCGGAGCATCTTACTGGACATTATCCGGCGGCATAACTTATTACCACTTGCTTCTGATAGTTAGTTAGGATTGCTACTTTATTGCCTTTTATTCGTTCTGTTGCACATGAGTGCAAATAGTGGTTGTTTACACCTTTTTTTAGTAGTTTTCTATTAGGCAAAGATAAAATAGGAATTGGAGTCGGGGGAGAAAGATAGACTTGATTTTACAACTTCATACAGTTGCTACATGTTCTTAAAACTTTTGTGTTCTGAGTTCTGATTTATTGATTTTGTTCTGCTTGCTCTAACCATCTTTGCAGGATCCCTACATCAATAAGTGACACTGCAGCTGGTTGCGAACTCCTATGAATTTGGAATGGTGTCGACAACCACTTCAAGAGGAAGACAAAAATATGGACAGGATCGTTGATCTTAGTGAAATCAAAGATGATGGCATAAGAACCACAAGTTAAATCCTTAGTTCAGAATAGAGTAATTGGAGAACAAGCTCTAAGAAATTCTTATCGAAAAAAGAAAATTAATAAGCCGCTTGTTTATGTAATTGGGCTCTATCTCGATATAGAGCCAATCAGGGAACTTCATAAAAATATCATGAAGTACAGGTGCGGAACAAGCATTAATTTTTTAGGGAGCAACCTTACAAGCAACATCGGTCTTATTTGATAATTACTTTTAAAAAAAAATTACTAAGAAGTTTTTTTTCACATTAGCTTTAAAAAGTTAATTTCTCTGTAGCAGTTTACAAAACAGTAAGAACATCATCACAAATAAAATATTGATTAGTCCTTTGAATTTGTTAAGGCTTTTTGGTCGGAGAGACGAAAGGCATCAGGAAATCATAGGAGCTGACTGAATGGTTAGCGAGATTTTCAGCATAGAAGTTTAGGGGGGAGTCGGAGGAGAACCGAGGATAGAAGAGCCAGGGAGCGGGGGAAAGGCTTTCGGACCCAACTCCATGGGGAGAAGGCCCGCTAAGAACCCCAAGTTGCAAGGGGAAAACGGCCACGCCGGCCGGAGAGTAGCAGGAGGAAAACAAAATCGCCAAAGCTAGGAAACCCTAGCAGAGCGGTCTGCGGGTTTGATTATCTGCGGGTTCTGTTTTATAGGGCCTGTTTTGTTTGCAGAAGTGCTTGGTTACTTATTATTGTGATGTGGCTGCTCTTTCCTGGACGATTCTTGTCGATATCAGGTAACTCGTGGTTTATTTCGATATTTTTATGGTGCTTTTTTTGGTTTTTCTTTTTTTGCAGGTATTTCATTGCGTGGTGATTATTTTTTGGAAGAAAGTGGTGCTGATAGTGATATTTTGAATTTTTCTTTTTTTTGGGTGCCTGCTTAGTGCCGCCTTAGATTGAATCTAGGTAATTTTATATATTGGTTAGTAGGGGACAATCGACTCTTAGGTTTTATTTCATTTAAGCATTGTAGCTCTTTGAGCATTAGTGAGCTGAATGTCCCCTTAAGGACTATGTACTTTTTTTCCTTATATCAACGCGCAGGCCCCTTTTGTGGGTTTCTCCTAAAAAAAAGAAAAAAAAAATTGTTCTATTCTTTGGAAAACAATTATTTTAATTATTGAGTTTAGGTATCGTTAAGGACAGCTGTAATTTTTTTTAAAGTTAGTTGTAATATTGTTATGAAGAAATTAAAAAAAAAAGTATAAATAATAACTTCCTAGCACAATTTCTTTTTAAAAACAGTTAAAAAGTAATAAGTAATTTCTAGACATGACCCCAAAAATATATTTGAGAGGGTTGAGATGAATGTTATAATGTGAAGGAGACAAAAATATTATTCTAGGTCAGATATATGTTCTTATTTCTCAAGGAGTTTTATCAGCATATTGTCTATAAATACTTCCATGGAGCATCTAAAGTGGTTTTTAAAAAACTATATTCATAAGATGTTGATATGTAGCACAAGCATCTTTGAGTCCAAAAGGTATGACCCGATTTTGATATATTACCGGCTTCTCCGACGATGGAGCCTCCCCACCTGCCACGGTGCCACCCTTGCTGAGTTCACACTCGACAACACTGGTGACATGGACTTGCTGAGTTTACACTCGATGGCACTGTGAGCCTTTGCAGGATAGGTTGGTGAGTCACGACTGGCGAAGTTTGTGTTAATGGGTTAGTGGGTTAGCGAGTCACAAGAGGACAAGTCAAATCCAGGCCAAATTCGGGTTTGCGGGGTGAGCCGAACCCAACCCAATTTTTCAAATGGGTCAAATCCTCCAACCTAAACCTGACCCATTTACCAAATGGGTTAACCCTTATTCAAAATTTTCGGGTCGGATACGAGTATTGGTTTTGAATCGTGTTTAATATTGACACCCTAATGCCATACAATATAATTGCCTTCTTTTATAAATGCATGTCATAAGCATTTTTTTTAATATTAATAATTGTTTATCTGTTAAGTTGACGTGTCAAACTCATTTACTATAGATATATCATCAAAAATTTAGGTTGATTGGGCACAAATCTCGAGGCAAAAATGAATTGAAAACTGTCAAAATTAAATCTGAAACCATTTGAACTTCAATCTTAGCGAACTTATAATCAAGCAAAACATCTCGAAAAGACGAACGCAACGTCACTAAATTCGACTCAATCTGAGCCCAAATGGGTCTAAATAGAAGACCCGAAGCGACTTTGGAAAGTTCAAACCATAAATTGGATGACCAAATGATTTCCAAATGTGAATTGTTTATAGTCGAATAGAGAGGCTCAACGAGATGAATCCAACATGCTTAAGATCGTTGAATTCTGATATCATTAAGACATTCAAATACCTAGTAAATGATCCACAATCAAGGGTATCAATATCGGCTATCCATTCAAAACACTCTCAACATACCTTGATCTCCCTCTTATTTACTAGTTATGCCATTCTGAGAAAACTATAAATAGACCCCTCATTCCTTATGGAAAGGGACTTAAGCAAGAAAGACAAGGAAGAGAGAGAAACTAAAGTTCTCTCACCACCAGACTCCTTGACCACTGACCATTGTCGGACTTCTTCTTTGTCATCGACTAACGCCAGACTTCCACCCGGTTAACGACTGATGCCCGACTTCCATTCAACCAACAACTGCAGTCGGACTTTTGCCTGGTCACAGACTGATGTCAGATTTCCACCTGGCCACCAATCGGATTTCCACTTGGCCACCAATTGACTCTTGATTTCCTCCTGAACACTAGCTGTCGCCGGACCATGCCCAGCCACCAACTAGCGCCAAATTTTTATCCGACCACTAAACATTGTCGGATTTCCGTACGATTTTTGTTCATCACTAGATTTTAACCCTACGATTGACTATTGTAATTTGATTGTCCCCAATTTCAAGAAAGAAACAGTCATTTCTAATCTACTTAAACACTAGTATAATCATTTTAACTTGGCATGGCCCCAAAAGTTTTCCCTTCAAGTTCCCAAGAAAAAAATTATAGTATTTCTTTGTTTTTTCTGTTTTTGTATTGGATACTCGTGCATTGCTAAAACGTGAAGTTTTTCATACTTTGCCAACGTGAATATTATAGCCCACACTTGGTTTCTTTTATTTATTTTTCAACTTGAAATTCAGTTTTTTTTTAATGAGTTGTCATCATAGATGGATTAAATTTTATGTCTTATTATAATAATGTTTATAGATTCTTCTTACAATGAAATTTTATGTCCTATTGTTGAGATTCCACCAAAACATAGATCGGGAAATCTCATGATTTCTTGTTGGGCATATCCTAGAAGACGGACTTCTGCTTGTTGCTTAATAAATAAACAGGCCTTTAGGCGTAAGGAAGAAACCAAAGTGAACTGAGCCGTCTCATGTGCTTGAAGTCGAGAGTGAACTAAGCATTCGTGAAACTTTTCAAACAGATTTGATCTGCAGGGTTTTTTGCGATTGAGCTCTGCTAGGGTTTCCGCCGCCTGCGTTCTCCTTTTGCCATCTCGCCCGGGAGGGCTTCTCCCTCCCCAGATGGCTACTTCTCCGCTCCATTTCCCTCCTCTTACCACTGCGCCTGGCCCTTCCTCTGGGGGCCTTTCCTATGCGGCTAATGTTTCAGCCTCCTCTTCAAAAACGACTCCTTTCCCAGTGTCCTTCTACTCCCCTGGCCAAAAGCTGTCTTTCAAAGGTGACGATCTTTCGGAAGGGAAGAACATTTGGACTTCGGTGCTTATCGGCTACTCGCTGGGGCCTCGTCCATATTACGAGCGGCTGCTTAGAGCCATGCAGAAGCTTTGGCAGTTGAAAGGTTCTATGTCACTTCTGTCCCTTGCTGATGGTTTTTTCTTGCTTAAATTTTCTACTGAGGAAGATCTGGAGATGGTGCTCTCAGGAGGACCATGGTTTCTGCTTGGAAAACCATTTATTTTACAGAGATGGTCCCCTAACTTTAAGCCAAAACGCGATGAAACTGCTCTGATTCCGATTTGGATCAAAATAGTCGACTTCCCGCTTGCTCTCTGGACTCCCACCGGAATATCTAAAATTTCGAGCTATGTTGGTATTCCGATTTCTGTTGACTCTCTCACTGCTAATCGCACGCGATTAACGTTTGCTCGGGTATGTGTTCTTATCTCTAAAGATTCAGTTTTGCATGATGAAATTCCGATTGAAATTGAAGGTGAAGAATTAGTTTTGAAAGTCTTGTATGACTGGAAACCTGATAAATGTGAAGGTTGTGGGTCCTTGATTCATCCGTTTTCTCTCTGCCCCAAGAATCCGAATCCCAGCCCCGTTCTCCCTCCGCAGCCACCAAAAAACCGAGGTCGCAGCACCTCCAGACCACATTCCTACCGTCCACATAGATCCCCATCTATTATTCCACCTTCTAAGACCACTAACATTCCCGTCAACCAAACCACATCCCCTGCCCTGTTACCTGCTCCTTCAACTTCGGCTCAACCGTCTGCTAAACACCTTTCTCTACCTAATCCTGATCCTACTTTGTTGCCTTTAGCTTCCTGCTCTGCACAGCAGCTTGTCATTCAAACACACTCGGTTCAGTCACCTCCTGTTTCGGATCCTTTTCCTTCTCCAACTAAATTGTCCCTGATACCGAATCTCAATGCTCCAACTGAAGATACCTCTTCTTCTGGTTTTCCTGCTTCCCCCGGTTTAGTCCTTCCCCCCAAAATTCCACTTCTCAACAAGTTTGCTTCCTTGCAAACTGAAGACCAAATTCTTCTGGACTCCTCAGAATCCTTCTCGGAGACTGAGAACACCTCCTCTTCTGTAGCAGACGACGACCCATCTGCTCGGACTCAGAATCTCTCTGAACAGAAATGTCACAACACAAGATCATCAGGTGATAAGGGTAAATCACCTAACAAGTCAAAACCTCCGAAAGCCAAATCGGCCAAGAAGGCCAAAGGACAAAAATCTTAATGTCTTATCCTAAGTTTGCAAGTTGGAATGTGAGGGGGTTTAATAGCCCGGACAAAGTCAATTTTTGCAAGTCTTTGATTAGTTCTATGGATCTCAAGATGTTGTGTATTCTGGAAGCAAAAATTTCTCTTGCTTCTTATGATGACTCATGGTTTTTACGCTCTCATCGTCTCTTTGAGAACGAAGGTAATTGCAATAATTTTGGGAATTCTACTCTGGGTAGGATTTGGATTAAGTGGGATGCTTCTGTCTTCTCCTTTAATCTGATTTCTTTCTCACCCCAATACATTCATGGTATAATTTCTGCGGGATCTTTCCCTCCGATTTATCTTTCAGTTATTTATGCATCTAACTTTGTGGAGGAAAGAAAAATGCTCTGGGAGCACATCATTTCTTATTCTCCTCCTTTGGACCAACCGTGGGTCATTATGGGAGACTTCAATTGCTGTAGATACCATACTGAGAAAGCTGGTGGCTCTGTTACCTCCACTAGCAGACTGGGTGAGCTCAATAGCTTCATTTTTAATTGTGGAGTCCAAGACCTTTCTTCTACGGGCCTCTTTTACACTTGGTTTAATCAAAGAGCGGATAATCCAATACACATCAAACTGGACAGAGTGCTGGTTAACAATGCTCTTTTGGATGTTTTTCCTAATGCCTACTACCATGTGGAATCTCATCTTGGTTCTGACCACTCACCTCTAATCTTCAATTCACATCATGAGAAGGCTTTATCTGTTAGATTTTTGTTTAAAAATTATTGGATTAATCTGGAGGGTTTTTGGGATGATGTATACAATGCTTTCTCTTCTAGATCTGCTAGAAGTCCTATGGCATCCTTCTTTCATAGTTTACAAAAGCTTAAGAGGTCTTTTAAAAGCAGGAATTGGGCTTCTTCATCCTACCTTTCTAATGCTCTTTTAGATGCTAAGAGCAAGCAGCAACATTGTTTGAATGAGCTCCAGAGCAGTCCTCTTGATTTGGAGTTAAATCAAAACTTGAAAAACATAAATGAGGAGCTTGCTTCTTTGCAAGCTAACTGGACCTCCTGGGTCGCTCAAAGGGCTAAGATTTCCTGGCTATCTAAGGGGGAAGATGATCTTGGTTTTCTTTTTGCCCATATTAGAAGCAGAAACAACAAAAACAGTATTAAGGAGATTACAACGTCTGAAGGCCATTTCACTAAGTTTAGTGATATCTCCTCTGCTATTATTAATCATTTTGAGGGTTTGTTTAATTCCCCACATCCTACTCCTCAACTTCCTTTAAATATTCCTCATGGCAACTTGGTCCCTAATCATTTCTTCAGCATGCTGGTTGCTCCTTTAACTTTGGATGAAGTTAAAAAAGCGGTTTTTGACGGAAATGAAAACACAGCTCCTGGCCCGGATGGCTTTACTTATGCATTTTATAGGAAATCTTGGCATTTGCTTGGCTTACAAGTGTACAATGCTGTTAAGAATTTTCTAGAGTGTGGTACTCTTCCGAGAGGTGTTAAAGCATCCGCTATTACTTTAATCCCTAAGTGCTCTCATGCTTCAAACATCAATGACTTTAGGCCAATCTCTCTATGCAATGTTCTCTACAAAATTGTGGCTAAAGTCATTGCCAATAGACTCAAAGTGGTCCTTCCTTACATCATTCATGAAAATCAATCGGGTTTCATTGCTAATAGGTGCTCCACTGACAACATAATTCTTGCTGCTGAGCTTCTTAGAGATTTCAAAGGCTCTAAGAAGAAGTTTTGTGCAAAGTTGGATGTTAAAAAAGCTTTTGACACTGTTTCAAGGGAGTTTATTATTGCTAGATTGCTGCAAAAGGGTTTCCCCGAGACTTTTGTTTCTTGGATTAAAGGCTGCATAAGTGATATTTATTTCTCAATATGCTTAAATGGATCCCTTGAAAGTTTTTTTAAATCTAGTTCGGGTCTCCGTCAGGGCTGCCCCTTATCACCCCTCCTTTTTTGTATTGCTATGGATGGATTATCTAATATCCTAAATGATCCTACTGCATCTCCAAATTTCAAAGGTATTAGCTGCAAAAATTTCTGCATAAATCACTTGTTGTATGCTGACGATCTTCTTGTGATGGGAGAATCCACCAGAAGCAATGTCATTCAGCTTAACAGATGTTTACATCTTTTTGCTTCTTTATCCGGTCTTCAAATTAACTCCAGCAAAAGTGCCATCATTTTCTCAAACAATGACCCGGAAAATCAGTGGATCTGTGAGGAACTTGGTATCCAAAATGTCAATCTTCATCTTACCTACCTTGGTATCCCGATATCTCCAAAAAGACTTAAAGCCTCTCACTTCCAACCTCTTTTGAGCAGAATTTCTGCTCTACTTGCAGGTTGGAAAAACAAGTTTCTTTCTTTTGCAGGTAGGGTCCAATTTATTAAATTCACTATCACAAACTCCATTGCTTATTGGATTAGAGGATCTATCATACCTAAGGGTTGTTGTGCTGCTATCAACAAACTTTGCTCTAAATTCTTATTTCACAACAATCTTGTGGACAGAAAATTGCACCTCATCTCTTGGTCACAAGTCAATATTCCTAAATTGGTGGGAGGTCTTGGCATTCCCTCTCTTAATGCCCTGTATTTTGGTGTGTACTGCTCTATCATTGGTAGATTCTACAATAACCCAAATCTTCTAAGTTGTTGGTATCAAGCTAAGTACAATTCTCCATGGAAAAATCCCCCTCCTAATGCATCTAAATTCTGGCATCAAGTCGTGAATACTGCTATAAAAATCAAAGAATTGTTATCTTTCCATGTTTCAAAGCAAAGCAAGTTCTCTTTTCTCTGGGACCCGTGGCTCTCTGGACAACTGATTGGGGATACATTCCATTTACCGGTTTTGGAAGATACTCTTGTGAAAGATTTTATATTTAATGATACTTGGCTGATACCTAGCTCTATTCCTTCTAGTATTAAGGAAAGCATTGAAATGGTGGCAATTCGAGAAAACAATGGGGTGTTTTGGAACGGATCACCAAACTGGGTTTTCAAAAATTTTGTAGAGTTCTTTTACTCTGATATCCCTAAGGTGGATTGGTATAATTCCATTTGGCACAAAAATCATGCCCTCAAGTATGCTTGTTTTACATGGATGGCCAGGATTGGAAAATTAAAAACGGCGGATAACTTGCAGTTTAGAGGCATTCATGTGTCTCTTAGCTGCTCTCTTTGCTTGAACCATCTGGAGAATCATTCTCATCTGTTTTTTAACTGTGATTTCTCATTTTATATTCTCAAGTCCATTCTGCCGGAATTTAGCAGTTTTCTTCTTAGGCCTAATCTGCCTCAAGCATTGGATTTTATTGAAAATTCTGAGAATTTAAATAGAAACGACAAAGATTTTTGCCTTTTAGCATTAAGCTGTATTACTTACCATATATGGAGGGAAAGAAACACTCGTCGTTTCACATTATCTAGAATTAATGTGGCTACAGTTATATGCAATATTTCTTTGGCTGTTAGACTGAAAACTAAAAAATGGAAAACCAAATCAACTTTAGTTCAGAGATTTTTGGGCATCTAATTTTTTGTTTAGCCACTTTATTTTGCTGGAGGTTGCCGCTTTGTCTCCAGATTTTTGATGCTTACTTGATGGCTGGGTCTCTTTTATCTCCTATGACGCGGGTCTGGACATGGACACAGATTTTGTTTTTATGTAATTTTCTGACCTGGGAAGAATACTATCGGGATTGTGAGGTTTTCGTGTTCAGCCCTCACTGCTGTTTGCTTGCGGTTTTCCACTTCCAATCTTCTCAGGTTTACTACAAAGACTATAGCTGGCTCCGCTGGAGGATGTTTGGCATTCAGACTATGATGAGCAAGGCCAGTCTCTCCGAGCCTCGGAGGGCCTTTGCGGCAACCGGGCTCGTTTTTGCGGGCATTTACTTACAGGCTGGAGGCTCTGTGATGGCCAGCTTTACTGAAAAAATTTCATTGAATTCGGTTTTTTGGCAACCGGTGCCACCGCCTGGACGACTTCATTTTCTAACTGAAATTTCTTGATGAATGAGACTGCGTCTTTATTCTGAGTCTACTGATTGTCTTTCGTCCAATTCTGGTCTTGCTATAGTCTTTGTAATATTTTTGATTAGCTTTTGTTTCTTTTGCTACTTGTGTTTTTTTTTTCCTACAGGTGAATTGTAATTGTTCTGATGTTTTTTAATACATGGGCTTTTGCCCCGGGTTCTCCCAAAAAAAAAAAAACTAAGCATTCGTGTGTGCTTGAAGCTGGAGAAGACTTCCTTTGGGCCAACGAACAAAATGACCCTGAGTCGTGCGCTAGAAGCTTTGGACAATAAAGAACGAATTAGAGATTGAAAATAGAGACAGAACAAGAAGAACTCTTTTCTGCACCAAAATGACCCTGTTTAAAAAATGAAATGAACATTTTTTAATTAATATCTTAGAATTAAAAGAGAGAAAGGAAAAAAAAAAAAAAGAACCGGTAAAGGATATGTGAGATACACCCCGTCAACTACGCCCCCTATTTGTGGATAACTCTCCACGTCGCTACGCTATCTCTATTGATAACCTTCTTATAAATACCCGCGGGATACTCCTCCACTTCCATCACCTACACTAAAGCCTTCAATGTAACCTGCTCGTCTGCAACCCCCCTCTCCTTAATTCACTAGATTTCGATCTCCAGTGCAGCACTTCATAGCAATTCAAACCTCAGCCTTCCTAACACAACGAAGGCGGGAGATTCCATAGGCTGCTTAGTAGAGATAACTCCAACTTTAAACATGGATGAACCTATGCAACAGGAACAAATAGCAGCCATGGATCCAAACTCCATGGACCTTCTTTTGGAGGTTTCAAACGCATTGCCACCTCCTCATCCCCAACAAAACTTGGTAAAATCTATTTACAATGACAAGGAGCACTTTTTGCAACTGATGCCCTCAACAGAGCTAACAGGATATCCAAATATGAATGCATGCATGGGCATAGGTGGCTTGAATCAAGGGGGTATAGGTTTTCCTGCGTGCTATGGAGGCCAGGGGCAAGGCTTATTTTCAAATGGCATTCTACCCATGTCAAGCCAACGGCGAAGTTGATCCCCACGACGTTGCGGATGCCAAGTCGGAGTCCTGTCATCGTCCTATTATCATAAGGCAAATTATTAGGTGCATACACTGGAGAAAGAATCATTCGGATTTCTCTTTGTCTACAGTAAAAATGCAGCTGCTAGAGTGCCTGCACTTTTACTGCATTTTTATTATACTCAGAGAGAAATCCGGATGAATGTCAGGTGTCTGAATCTAGTAATTTCTCATTATCATAACTTTGCCACTGTTATTTAATAATGTAACTGGACTAATACCATCCAGCTGCTATATTTTCTGCATTCTCTCACATCTATATATATATAGAATTACAAACTTATTTTATGTGCTTTGTAATCTAATATATAGACTTTTGTAACCTATTCAAATAGTGGATCATTTTATCTGTGTTACACCTTTGAAATTTTTATATACAAATTATGATGTCTATTTCATCTTTTTTATCTGTGTTGGATGTTCATGAAAAACTAATACCTGATAATTATATTTCTATCGCAATAAATTTTCTAGCATGCAAAAATTTTAAATCCTAAACATATTTATAGATTTCATAATAATAAAAAAATTGTTTTTTGAATCTAAACATATTTAAAAATTGAATTCTAGAAATGTTCGAATATTAAATGCAAAAAATTAACATACTTCTGATCGATCAGTGATGTTTCCCGATTACCCCTGAATTCGAGTGCTTTTAAACATTTTAAAAAGTGGGGTGATTGAGGCTTTTTAAACTACTGGAGGTTGTCATGTAGCTGTCATCAACGGATCATGCAGTGCAGCATGTAATTGGAGTAACTATTTCATTACAGTTTCTTATTTTATTAACGAATTCTGAATTATCTCTCTATTTTTTGTTACCTTAAACTTGGCTGTCGGCGTGGTAAATCATAGTTCTGTTCTTTAGAAAACTATTATTTTAATTGTTGAATTTAGAAATTGTTTAGGACAGCAGCAACATTTTATAAGCTAATTATAATATTGTTGTGAAGAAAGCAATTTTTTTTTAAATTGTTATAAAAATAACTTACGAGCATAAAAATTTATTAGAAGTTAAAAAAGTAACAAGCAAATTAAAATTATAGATGTATTCTAAAAAGCAAAACAGTCAGAAATCCATTCAAAATGAAGTCTTAGGCTTTGTTTCGGAAGGCTTTCTTATCACATTTTATCTAAATCGAGGGGAAGATGTGGCTTCTATAATCTTGCCTATAAAGTGGATAATTTCAGCTAGGCCATATCCATGATTTTTCCCATTTATTATTTTTTTTCATGAAAAATTATGATGTCTTCTATGAAATTTTTTTTTAAATAATTTGTGAATATCATGGATCTTATTATAAAGCTGCAATATTACACATTCACTATATCATCTTGAATGTTCTAGCACATAATAATTTGACATTATTTATGATAAATATTCCAAACATTCTACAAATACTTCATAAATATCTGATAAATAATCTCTCAATCATGAACAACATAATCCAATTGATAAAGAACATCTATGCATGACCTTGGAGGATCACTTGTGGAGCATCAAATTCAAATCCTTTAGCTCTAGCTTAGAGGAGCTAGTCAACAAAGATCATGATCATTCTAACATAATTGAGCTCCTTGACCACAAAATCAGTGATAGGCAAGTGTTGAAGAATTTGATGCCAGCCACATAATGCTTTCAAATTATAATGTTCTAATTCTCCTTTAACAAACAAATAATTCAACTGTCGTGAGTTCCATATTGTCGGTAGCTCGTATTCTTGTTGAACTATACATAAAAAAATTATTTTGACTCAGTTTGATTTGTTCTGAAGAAATATGGTAATATTTAGAAGATTGTTTTTTAAGATTTCCAAAGCTTTTGTGTTCATTGTAAAGCTGTTGGTCACAAAAAATCAAAATGTCTCATCTTATACTCCCATTTGAAGAAGGTTGTTGAGACTGAACCTACTCAATTTGATTCTGATCATGTGGCTAATGATTCTATTTTTGTTGTGGGCTCTGATAACATGGTTTTGAATGAGTAGAATGTTCTGACTGATAATGTGATTTTAACCAACGACCCGTAGATTATCCCCTTTCCCTTTGACATTAACATCTTTGTTGCCAATGATTCTGATGCTATGGGCGTTGAGGACATTAATCCTTCTATGACTGCTAACTTGGATATGATTGATTTCTATGCATCTGCATGTTGATAGTAACATCTGGAATGTAGTTAACCATACTCTAATGTTCATAGGTGTGGATTTTTTGAGTTGTGTCACTATTATTAGCTTACCCATTTAGCATATATCTTATAATGTTTTGAAAAGTATGAAAGGTGGTTTGCAACTCCCGGTCACGACTGACGTTGTTGATCATTTTTATTGGGTTTATGAGTACTTCTTGAGTAACAAATGCCATGATGGTGAGATTGAAGATGGTTGTACTAATGTATTTTTGGGGGAATATGATTTGAATGTAGAGAAAATTGATAATGCTGGATTTTCGACAATGCTTGGAAAAAAAAAACAAAAATCTCGAGCTGAATTTTAAATATGTCGTTGGTTGTTCTACTTAGATCTTTGGTGGTGTTAATTTGTTGTTTTGTCAATTTTCTGCTGCTGGTGGTGATTTGGTTCCTTGGTGGCCTTTTTTTCAAATGGCTTTTGGTCATGTTGTTGGGGTTTTCCTTCTCGTGTAGGTGTCGTTTGCTTTTGTTGGTCTTGGTGGGGTGTTGATGCTTGCGTGTTTTTGGGTGGCTGTAGCTATGCTATATGGTAAGGCTTTACTGGTTTTTCAGGGTCTTTCTGGTGGTTGGTTCTCAGGTGGGTCATTGGGCTCGTTCTTTTGTTGGGTTGTTGTTCAAGGTTGTGTTGGTTTGGTGGGATGCTATTATGGCTCCTTGGCATTTTTCTCTGGTGTTTATTCTCTTTTTTTATATCCATATTGAATTTTTAGATGTTGCAGGGTATTGCTGGAGGTTTTGTTTGGGCTCTAGGCTGCTTATCTCTCTAGTCTCTTATCAGGAATTATTATTTGTTGTTTAACTATTTTTATTTGTCTGTCTCTAATTTTGCAACTACTTGTCCTTATGTTGGGAGCTCTGGGTTGGTTGGTTCTTGGTGCTTCATTGTGTATATGTATTGAGTTCCTCTCTTGAGATTGGCTTCTTGCCTCCCTATATATATTTTTATTTTTTATTTTTTTGCTCTTGATTATTGTATTAGATAGGATCACTCGATCAATAGATTTTTCTTTGAATATAGTATTTTTAGAGAGCTTTTGATCCTTTAAAAACTTGTAATTTTATTTAAATTAATGCGTAGGCCCCTATGAGGATTTTAGAAAAAAAAAATCTTATTAAGATCTCTTGGATACTACAAGTTCAACCAATTCCTTCTTGTACTTTTTAATCAATCCATAATCTTTTGAGAACCTTAGTTGATTACTTGAATTATCCTTGCCTCGTAGAAACCCATTGTAATATTATATGATATAGACTATCCAAAAAATTTAACAAGAAGATCCCATCATTGAAAAAGCTTAAAATATTTGAGCTTCTCATCTCATTAATCCTCATCTTGTTGGAATTTTTAAGAGAAGTAAGATAGAGCTAACTATAGATCTATCATTTTCAAGTAATTTATTTAAATTTTATCATATATTTTTTATTTACAAATACTAAATTAGAACAATTGGAAGACGCAAACTCCACTATAAACCTTGGAAGAAACACTTAGAAGAAAGCCTCATTTGGAAGTTATTGATGGAAATTAAGGGTTCTTATTAGAAAATCTCTATTAGAGCAAGTGATTGACATGATATCTACAAATATCATACGGTGTTAGAATGTATAAGTTCTTTTCAAATGTCTCAGAAGCATAAACTTATGAAGGAATATATTTTATCTAAAAGCCTTAAAAGAGTTCAGACTACATATTTTCAAATTGCATAAGTCTCAAAAGGTGCAAATATCCCTAGTCTAAAAATCTTTGCAGGATAAATCTTAGAAGATGCAGGTCTTTCATTTATTAAAATAACATCAGAAGATGCAAGTCTCAGAAAGTACATAATTTTTATTTATTTCAATAAAACATAATAATAATTTGTGTATGTTCCACTACTTAGTCATAAGACTTTAGAAGATATAGG